GAGGTCTGTACTCGTAGGACCCCCCGCATGTTGCCGTGATTGCCAAAGATACCAAGCATCCCAATCGCAGAACTGGTCACTTGATCGCTGAACAACCTAACAACAATCATCAGGGAAGCTGGGGTCTGCCCAGTCATGTTCTTTGCCCCGGTGGCCCTGGAGCCTGACGAACAAGAGAATGCCAACAGCTGCGCATTCAAATGGGTATTTGCGTACAGACCTCGACATCCAATCGGCGCGGACGAACTGATTCTGCTTGGCCCCTGGACCTGAACCAGCGGAGCTCTCACGTGCATGCAAGATGCATTGATACCAATGTGTAGTATGGCTGTTGTCACCTGTTGGCATGTTTCATTGACCGCATACATGCAAGGATTATGCAATTATCACCCACGCTACGCCAGCATGCTAGAGTGCAAAGTGACACCAGCCCCATGGCGCGAACTGTGTTCCCCCCTCATTTGCCGAGTTCCCCCCGGCAGAAAACGCAAAGCTTTTTAGGGGATTCTCCTTTTTAAGTGCATCGCGAACTCCGAGCCAAACCAAAAGGGAAACAGGGTGGGGCACAGGCCACTGCTGCGTGGCGCCTCCATGAGGAACTGGGGCACCTGGGTGGACTTCCCACAGCCCGTGTCGCCCGCCACCAGCACCACCTGGTGGTCCTGCCAGCTGCCAAAAGATTCGCCGACTGCGCTGTTGCTTGCAAAATTCAAGGCGCCGCCGTCGTGTACATGCATGCCTGTACTCGCACACGCACACATACAATATATACATCTATACAATATATATATATATACCCTGGAATTCAAAAGGCCTTTTCAGAAACGGCCGTTTGTCGAAGAGCCATTTGTGGCAAGAATGCATGTTTTCACTGGTTCCGAAGAGCCATTTCTGGATTCCCATGTTGGCCAATAAGTAAGACCACATTTCTGGCTACCATGTTGGCCAATAAGCAAGACCCCCCCCACACAAAGCTGGCAATCATATAGGCCCCAAGCTCACATTAGCCAAGTCAGAATTTGACTCCCTGAACTTCCAAATTCCTTTGACTGGCTGTTTGTCGAAGGACCTAAAAAAGAAAAACCCGTTTTCAGTAGCTTTGGACAACCATTTGCGGAGCTCGATGTTAGCCAATAAGCTACCGCGGCCGTAGTCCAGCCATCACGCAAGCCCGTGTTCAAGCTAGGCTCGTTTGGAATCGCCTTTTGTCTTTGAAAAGGTCGCGCAGCTCTGTAGGCTTCAGCTCCGCCACTTTAACTTGCATGCCTTTCAGGCTGAGGTGGCATTCGGCTGGATGTCCACGGTTTGTCCACTTCCCTAAATGGATGTTCCACTCCCAGAAATGGCTTTTCCACGCCCACAAATGGCTCTTCCACGCTTTGTCCACGCTTTGTCCACGCTCCAGCTTCTCTGATGCTGTAAGACGCCCATTGCGCCAACACGCGCACGTAAGAGCGAGCAAGCTCACATAACACACAAGGCTCCTGGCTGCCGGGCCATGACAACAGCCATTTCGGAAAATGCCGCTCGACGAATTTTAAACAGACGTTTGTAAGGACCCTAAAATGGTCCAGCGTTTCCTTAGAATGGTCGAGGGTACCTAGGCCTTTTCAGACATGGGCAAGGACGCCCAGGGTTTGTAAAAATGTAGTTTGCCTTGCTGAAAAGCTCTCAGAGCTATTGGCCAAGACCTTCAAAAGGCAACCCCAACCCACTGAAGCACACTGAATCGCAAAGCAATGCCATACCTAAGAGCCATTTCAGAATTGGCCGTTTGACGTTCCTTAATAGGCCGTTGGTGAAGACCCACAAATGGCCGAGCATTTTCTTAAAATGGCCGAGGGGTACTAGGCCATTTCAGAAATGGCCTCCGACGTCCAGGGTATATATATATCTGCATATTGGAGTTGTCTGAGCATGGTCGACCACAATACAATGGAACTAAACAGTATGTTTCACAAGAACCCTGCGCGGTTCAACCAGTCAAGTACGAATTCTGATAAACGCTCCGGAGGCAGCCTGAACCCAGACTGGTTAAATGCGATGGTTGCAGTGGGTTCGAAAACTGCCGGAAAGTCCGCGAAAAGAGAAATATCTGTACAATAGGCCCACGCTTCATCCGCTCCGACATGGCGGCTCGCTTTACCTTTCAAGTTTGGGGGGGGAGGGGGGGCAACTCTGGTCAAGACACGCATTTTGCATTTTGCAGATTCGCATTTTGCAACCCAAGCCATCAAGCAAATGAGTCCCCAAGAGCCAAGGGCCTATCAAAAACGTTGACTGCCCACGAGGGCCCCGGAGTGCACCTCGCCTGCGGACAAAAAACAAGGTGCCCAAACAGAAAAGCTAGCAGCCCAAAGGAGTCTCCACAGGCTTACATTCCCAGCGTGGAGGCTGGGGCGATTTTCCTTTTGACGGTACTGTTTGTTGGTTTCCATGTTGGTAGATGAGAGTATTGATCTGGATGTGAATCTTAATTAGGGACCCTTTGGTGAACATCATTAAGACGGGTTTGGAGTCGGTTTCCTATTTGATGTTTGAGCCAAGTTTGCCCCCACGGACCGCCATCATGGGCTGGTCCTTGACTGCCTGCACCACCTGCTGCCGCGCAGTGGCGGCCGGCAGGCTCTGCACAGTGCTTCGCAGCTTCCGGAGCTTGCTGAAGGCCATGCGCTGCCGGAAGTCCTGACTTGGGCTCAGTGATACATACGCAAGCCACCCGTGCGTAAACAACCTCCTTTTGGCTTCCCTGTAAAGGGGAGCTGCGGTCAGTTGTATGGGCTTGAAGATGTGCTATGAAGACCAAGCGCCTTGCAGCTTATTTTGCAAAAACAAGAACTCCTCCCCTCCAGCAACAAGAAAACTTGTGTTTTCCACTAGGTCTTGGAAACTTCACCGTGGCGATGGCCTCATAGTGCCGCACCACTCCATCGAAGAGCCTAGGGCGCCGCTTGGGAATAGCCAGACCCCGCGCTTTTCTTGGAAGCTACAAAGTCGGTGTGGGGTGTTGGATGGGGCTCTGGAAATCTCAAACATGCCCATGCCCCTGTGCCTCACTTTTGTGAAATTCCCAGTTGAACCTAGGGGCATTCTAGCACATGCATCTGGGCCAACCTGGGCCACCAAAGGAACAAAGCCCTCCGAATCGTGACTCCTTTTTTGGAAGCGCCAAAACAAAGCCAGCTGCATTGCGGCAAAATGAACGTCTGTGACTGAATAGCTGCAAAAAGAACACTTGGCCATGTGTCTCGGGTGGCAATTTTGTTTCGAACCTTCGTTGGCAAACCACAAACCACTTCCAGTCGAGCACGAAAAGGACAACTGAACAATATGTGCTCTTTGGTGTCCGGTTTTTTGTGGCTCTGAAAAGTTATAACTGACATTGGGAAGGAAGCACAAGGCGCAGCCTCCTCCCCTCTTCCCCGCTTGCCTCATTCACACAAGTTGCAACCGATTGCCCTGCATGAGCAACCCGGCATGCTTCCCAGTGCCTTCTCATCCAAGGCCCAAACAGTGCCGGTACACGGCCAAATGGCACAAGCAACGCGACGGTTCAATCGATTCTCACCATGGATGTGATGAGGCACCTGTTTCCAGACAGACTTGAAGCCCCTCCTACCCACTTCTCCCAAACCCACCCACCCACCCACCCACCCACCCACCCACCCACCCACCCACCCACCCACCCACCCACCCACCCACCCCGTCTCCCGCTCCAGGCGCATCTGCTCCAGGCGCGACGTAGGTGCCGCAAGCGCGAAATTCCGCCGCAGAGAGGGGTCGAAGGCTGGGAGCCGCGCCGCCAGCCGTGCCGCCCCACACGTGGCCAAGGCAGAGGCAGGGGGGCGACTAGCGGCTGGGTCCGGCGGCAGCCCGTAGTCTGGGGCCTGGGAACAAGCATCGGAAGCGCCTTAGTGAACCCAAGGCCTAGCGAGGTGGGCACATTCCCACGCAAGTGACCCACTCAGTTCCCACCAGAAAAGGTTGCCGCTCCTGGGTGCGCAAGAAGGCCAGGTACCTCTCCAAGAATCGCTCAAAGTCCGTCTGCTCATCCTGCGCGAACGCCATCTGCTTTGGCCAGCCAGTGGGTGTTGTAGTTCGCCAAACACACCCACTGCAAAAATGAGAAGGTTCACCCAGGCAGGCTTCATTTCTGGAGGGCCCCATGCATTCTGGCTCGCAAGCTCATCAAGTGGCGTCTGCCTGCATGACCACCTCTCCACGCCCAAGAATACCAAGCCTTCAAATGTGGAAAGCAACAACAATAGACCGCTCGAAATGGCTAGTTTGACCTTGGTCCCTTCCAAAGTGAACTAAGGGGGCCTTCGCTCGCAAAAACCGCAGGCCTGGGATTGCAGCAGGCCCCTGGGCCCCACGTAGGGCGCCAGCGCCCGGGCTCGCTGCTCTTCCCAGAACCGCGACAGGCGCAGGTAGGCCAAGTTCTCCATGGCTCCATGGCAAGAGCTGAGTCTCTTGGTAAAAAGCTTGCTGGGGGCGCCTGGCGGCTGGGGTTGGCTGGTTGGCAGGGGTTGGCTGCAAATTGGCTGCGAATTGGTTGGGGTGGGCTGGGGGTGAGTTGGGGCTAAGAAACTGGGGCGGCTTCGTGAATGGTTACAACCTGCAACGCAAACTGCAAATGCAACTCTTAGAATGAGGACTGGTTGGAGACACAAGCATGCAGCGTGACAAGTCTATTTTCACACACGGCTTTGTTTGAAGTGGTCTGCACTGTCACCACTTGTTTCTATGTACGCTATGTACGCGTTAAGCCTGCTCGCAGCAACATCGCAGCAACAAGCTGCCCCCACTATCGACGCTAATAGCCCACAAGCAAGCATGAACCCACTGTTGACACTGACCTTCTCCAGACATCCTGCTGTCTGCCGATGCCTCACCTCTTGGACACGTCCTGCTCCCCAAACTTCCCCCTCCCTTCCCTGCTCAGCCCGACTTCTCCCGACCCAAAGAATACACCCCGCCCATGCCGCACATCCCCAATCCTTTCGACAGCCGGGTCCGCGGTGGAGTCGCCATGGCGCCTACCTTCTCCACGTGGCGCGGGTCTGGCTTGGCCCGGTGGCCCGGTGGCCCGGTGGCCCGAAGGCCCGGGAAAACGCTGCTACTGCACGATTCATTCCACGGGGTGGTTGCGCTTTTAGCGAAGAAATGTTCCTTCTTCTCGTTTTTTCTGGGGGGGGCGGGGGTTGGGGTCCTCTGGCTGGTAGGGTCCTATCTGATTGAGGCATGGAGGGAAGACATCCCGTTGGATATGCTTGCTGCTTTTCTCCTGTCACAGCTGCGCATTGCAAAAGGCTACGGACAATATGAGCACCGGTTGGTTGCCATCAACGCCCCAGCTACGAAGATGGCATACGCACTCTCTCCTTTCAATTGCCAGACCCTTCTGACTCGTTGGTCCAAGCCACGGTGATCTGGCTGGAACGCCTCCACCGCAAGTCAGAGGTTAGGAAACCCGGCAATATCGTGACTCATTATGCGCTGCATCCTTTGCTCAATTTTCTTGAAGCCGCCTTCTTGAAGAAGCCTGGTTGACTATAGACTGACTTGTGCACAGAAAGGGGGAGAGGAAACCAACTGGAAAGAGAAATAGGCAAACAGCGCCAGGGTAAATCAAGGAAAACCGCCTGCCCAAACCCTGCCATTGACATGGCCTTGCCGGAGATTGCACCAAAGCAATCGACTCCCTAGAGTTGCAAAAATGAGGCATTGAGCTCGCCACAACTTGGGCGTCACCGCCCTCCCAACTTGCAATCGAAGCAGCTCATTTATAGTCAGTCCCTCGCCCCTCTGTGGGCCCGGCCTCTGCACCGCGTTGGTGGGGTTCTGGACGTTGCCACCTTTGAGCCCTGCGCCAAAGGACCAGTGCTTGCAAACCGTGGGTGCAAATCAGCCAACAAAAACCAGGCAACGGAGAAACAAAGCTAGGATGTGCGCTAAATCCAAGGTCACCACCTTTCAAATTCAGACTCGTTCTAGTAGCTCAGGTCATCATGACTTAAGCCGCGACCAATTCAGACTTTCCACTCTGTACATCCCACTAGGCAGTTGCCAAAGCAACTCATGTGCCCAACCCCACTTGCAGAAGTGCAACAGCACGCCTTGGAAGACAGCCAGTCCAGTCTTTCCGGTGGAACAAGCCACAAGCCTACAAGCTGCTATCCAGTGCTGAGAGGGGCTGCCACAAAACTCCGAGGACATGGAATTCGCGCCGTTGTGAGCAGGTCAATGGCACGACTCCTCGACTAGCTGCGCCGCCTGTCACAAACTTGTTGGCCAAAGCTGCCAGGCAGGGAGCGTGAACCTAAGGCGACAAGTTGCTGCCACAGGTTGGTGCCATGCCTGCAAATACACACACACACACACGCATTGTTCTCACACTTGATACTATATATTTCTCATTTCTCTATCCCAGTGCTGTTTGGTAGCAATGATTTGAGACCACTCCCGCTCCCGGTTTTGGTTGGCTTCCTGTGAAACGGGCCGCGTCACCCCTGTAGCCAACCGCCAGCTCCCTGGGCCAGGTCGAGCCCATCAGTCCGACTCGACTCGGGATCCGTACAGCCATCGGCGTCGCCGGCGCCCGGGCGAAGTTGGCGCACTCCTGGCCAGATCCGGCAAATCGCACACTGCTGGTCTGCGAACGACCCACACAGCCAAAGTGGAGCTGTTGATACCATACAAGTGGCGGATATGCAAAGCAGCATTCTGACAAATGTGTCAGTTGAGTGGGTGGTCACTGCAAACAATTCCCCTGATCGGTTGTTCCCGTGGTTCCCCTTTGCAAACGGCCCGCCATGTCTGCAGCCATCGCCAGGCTTTCGGCCCCCTCTGCCCTGGCTCCTGCGGGCCGGGCTGCCTGACCGAAGCCATGCATCGCACTGCCGTGGCCCGTGCCTAAGCCGCAATCGGTCGACTTTCAGGTCGGCTTCAGTGGGGAACGATGCTCCATGTGGCAAGGTGGCTGTTCTTTTGCGCACTGCTATCACTGCGGTCGGCTATGTTCATGAAATATTTAACCTCACTGCACAACATGCCCGCTATCTTCCCAGCCCCTCTGCACTTGCAACCCGAATTGCAAAGCTTCCATGCAGCAAAGCACCCGTCTGCCATCCCTCTGAGAGGCGCGGCCAGCGGCTCGCTCAGGCGCTTCAGGGCAGCAGATCTCCGCGCGACGTTGGCGGGGTTCTGGGGCTCGCAGCTGGGCATCCTGCAGACTTTGCGCCAAGGGCCCTAGTGGAGTGGGGTGCAGCTTCAGTCAAGGGGGTTAAGCAACTCCAACAAGGCGGCAGAACAGTGAAAATGCGAGTCTTAACAAGTCCAAGTGCCCAAGTGATTCAACAGAAAACTGATCTTGCCTTCTAAGTGTTCATGCTCTTGGTTCATATTCCCTCGCCCGTGTTGCTTTGCTTGTCTTCCGGCATATCTTTTTGAGATGCTGCAGCACCTTTTCCCTCGTGTCGACTGCGGTGCCCTTTGGACAGCCAGCTTACGAGGGAACGCCTCTCACGGGGCGGCACGTCAGGGATGCACACGATGCTCCGGTCGTGCCTCTGCATATTGAGAAATGGCCAGCGTGGCCCTTCCACCGAGCGCCTGCTTGGTGAGCATGGGCATTGGCGACTTCCGCTCGCAGCAGGTGCAGGGGATGAAGGGAAACTCCTTCCCCTCGGCCGTGAGCTTCTGTTGAGGACTCCGCCCACCTCTGAGCCTCTGCTGCTTCCTGCAGGGTGAGAACTCTTCCAGGTAAATCTCCTCCTTCGGGTCGGTTGCCCCCTTGAAGGCAGGGCTGGACGGCGGCACAGAGGGCACGGAGGCCCATCTCACCAGAAGCCTCGCAGATCTTGAGGCACCGGCTTTTGGACAGCAGCGGGGCGGGTGTTGACCAGAAAACTTCTGGACAGGGCTCGGGGGCGCTTTGCTCAGCGGCAAGAAGTAGCGATTCAAGGGTGTCGTCCTCCACAGCAGCTGAAGTTCCTCCCGAGCTTTGCGCAGCTCCCGCACAGGCGACTGCTCATCGGTCATGAGCGAGGGCTGCGCCTCCGGCCATTGATCCATTGGATCCCTCCGCGCACTGCTTGAGGGATCAAAATGGCTGCAGTGTGTAAAGGAAAGCACATTCATACGTGCCTGAGTCTAGACCGTTGAAACTTTCACACTTCCTCATCCTGGGCTTGGTACGACTGCTGTCTTGCGCTCCCTTACAAAGGCTACGGCACGAGGCGGGCCCCTCCCCCTCCCCAGGCGGTCCTCCTGAGGCTCTCTGCCGCGATCACGTCAAAAGCCGGGCCGTGCCAAAATGCTGCCTGGCAGGCAGCAGGCCGTGCCAACACGTCTTCTTTTCAGGGTACACTTGTTGGAGTAGATTTTGAGAGCCAACAGGAACACCTCCATATTGGGCGTCCCCCTATTTCGACGCATACCCATGGGTCCAAGGAATATGTTGGTTGGAGTAGGGTCGCTGTCCAAGATTAATGCTGGCTTCATCTTTCGCAAAAGTGGACCTAACTTTGAGACGAACCCATTGTGTGAGAGGGCGCGCCTCAAAAATAGGATGCCCCCTCCCCCAAGCAGAAAGACAGGTGGCTCCACTTTGGATCTGCGGTTGCCAATTGAAGCAATCGCTGCAGAGGTGCAGAAAATGACCAGAAGGACCACACCTCCAGAAATAGGGAAGCAGCGTTGCCCCAGGTGATCAAAAACAAACATCACTCCTACATTGATGATGTTCTTGCATAATCGCACAGTGCATGATATTGTGTGGAGCCGGATGGCTCAAGCGCATGCTGTAGATTCAAGACTGGGAACTTATGAATTGGACTCCTCAAGCCCTGGGCGCATGTTGGGACACATGCGAAGCTCTCGGCACTAACGCTGCCCAGCCTTTCCGAGTCTCCAGGCACTGTTGGCCTCATCAGGCGACGCAGCGGCAGGGGGCGGGGTCTCTCGAGCGACGCTGGCTCAATGCTGGCCGGACAAATTCATGATGGGAAAATAAGCCTAGAAGCACAACAAATGAGCGTCAAGGCAGGCGATGCCCGAGTGGTGTGTTGGATGTGAGGCTCTCCCCAACTCCTCAGGTCCTTGCGAGACGGTTCGCCCATGGGGCCTGGGGAGTCCTTGGGGAGCCCTGCCAACCGTACTGCTATGGCTCAACTGTCCACACAGCATACAACTTGTGATTCTCGAGGGTCAACTAACCTCTGAAGTTACTGAAGGTCATGTACCTCAGGTTGGCCCTAAAAGGCATCCTGCCAAGCTACAACCCTCGTCCCATCCAAAAAGTCAAAAGGTAATCATCCAAATGCAGCGGCTACCGCTGGCTTGAAGCATCTTGCGTTCCGCTGTATGTCTCCTGCATCACGAAGACCTGGAAATGAAGGGTAGGCCTTTCGGGACACTCACAAGACATGGACCAGAGTCACCCTTCCTGTCACCTGGGCATTCCGAGATTCTTCTCTTCTACGGCAGCTCCTCATCAATAACATGCAAGAATATCAACACTATGGCTCGCGGGGTCATTGCATTGCAAGTCTACAGTATGGAGCAGCCAGCTCTGAACCTGCTCCGCAAAAGACCAGATTCTGATCCGAAGCTGGTCCGGACGGGCGCCCTGGCCAAATCTTGCGCCGCCAGCTCAATGCCGGAGACGAAGCCTGTACAGCTGGAAGGGCGCAAGGGAAGAGAGGCCTGGGGGAACTCAACCGGCACTTGCATTGAAACTCGAGCACAACCCTGCGGTTGCAACTACAGCAGGCAACCAACCTGGCAAAACACAGCGAAAAACCCGCATAAGCCATCATATTCGAGGGATGGCCCTACGCGCTCTCGGCCGATGGCCAAAACATGTGGAAGAGTTGCAACAGCAAAAACAAACACTGGAGTCATAATTAAAACCTGGGTATCAAAATTGTCTAGCCAGCACCATGTAAAGAATGAACAAAGCGGCTGTACCCATGGCTAGGACTATCCTGACATGGGCCAAGTCTTCGACCCCATAGAAGGGCCCGTTCTGCCACCCATGGGAAGCGGGAGGTTAAAAGGGCGTCCTAGCCTTGTCAAGTTTCAGACACGCGCTCGCTTAAAAATTGCAGCCACATGCTCCCTTGCAGTTTGGAGTTGGTAGCCTCAACCTGAATGCTGAAAGCCTTGAAAGGAAGCATTGCCAAGTCTTTGGCAAGCTAACAGCTTTCGACATGCTAGGGCCACTGCAGTCTCCCAGCGCACTGAGCGATGGAACCCCATCGTACCTTGCCCACACGAGTGGGCCGAAACAAACTGCTCGGGCAAAAGCAACCATACCATGCCCTTCATAAGCCGCTGACTCTTGACAACCCCCTACACAAGCCTCCAGACACATCTTTGACCCACCACCAAAGGAATCGACCGCAGCCCTCCCCCAAAGCACAGTGGCGCTAAACACCGCGCGCGATCGAGCATATTCGGGTGCGATGCTCCGCAAATCTGTTGTTGCCCCATGCCGCGATTCCGTGCTGACGTTTGCCACTAGCATTTTCACACCCAGACGCGCACAATGGGTCGGCTAACTTTGTGGCTGGAGCGGCAAGTCTCTACCTATTGTTCCGCAAGTCCCGGAAACAAACACCAACCAGCTCCGGCGGCCACCAGTCAAACAGGAACTTGCTTGCTTCATGCGCCATGAGGGGCCAACTTGCAAGAACAAAGGGCGAAAAAAAAACCACTCCAGACAAGGGCTCCCTTCAAGGAAGGCCTCCAAAGACCATTCCCAGACCCCCTGCCTCATGGTGCCGAATGCCCAGGCGGCGTTGGTAGGATCCTCCGCGGGCTGGGAAGTCGGGGGAGCCCAAATGGCCCAGCGCGAATGCGCTGGGCATGTCTACCCTCCATCGATAGAAGTGCAAAGCTCGCCTTCCCAGGAAAGTCGTCTTCGGGTCTATGACCTGGTGGGAGGTAGCAGCTCTTAGCTGCTTGCTCTTGTCATCGAAATGCTTGCTCAAGACTTGCTCTATCTGGGTTCCCTTGCTTCTGGCTGCTAGAGCTGCTTGCCTATGCCTTGCGTTCAACGGTAGAAGGAAAAAGGAGCATTCTGCATTTGTTTGCTTGAAGGATTGCTCGCTGCCAAGCTCTGAAAGAGAGTGTGGAGCTGAAAAAATGAACAACGTATATAACAGCCAAAGCTACTTCTGCCACCAGCCCTTGCGGTAAGCTGTGCCATCGACACTTCACTAACACACTGCCGTTGGGCAAAAGGGAAACTTGGCATGGATGCCTCCACACCATGGTCCATTATTTAAGTTAGGGATCATCATTGGGGTTCCTGAAGGATACCTCAAGATCGCACTCATTCCTCACACCCTCTGCCCCCGACCCACCTGCGCATTGGAAGCGCCCTGGCATACCTTGTGCAGCAAGGGAGGCAACATGCCGAATCTTGGTCACGCAGGACGGCACTAAAAGAGGAGGGCTGTCCAGCTGATGGATGCTGCTTTTAAGGAATACTCCATGGGCTGGCCATTGGGACTGACACAGAAAGCTTTCCTCGTCAGTGTGCCGGTAAAGTCGGCCCACCCCAGTCCAAAAATGTTGGGAACGATCTATGCAATGTGGCCTGACCATTTGAGGGGTGTGGAAGATGAGACTTGTGGCCAGCGATCAGCAAGGTGTGCAATATTATGCAGTGATGATGTTGTCGACCGCAAGGCATGGGCCAAGTAACACTTGCCTGGCAATTTGTCTTTGCAGACCTGGAGACCTTTCCACGTGGCAGCGACACTTTGCTGATAAGCGCCTAGCCAACAGGTAAATATCTTGCCCAACGCCTGAACATCCGTGTGCAATTATTCACCTGTGGCGGTTCAAGCCCCCACCTCAGTGGAGCCAGCCATGTCCACAAGTCCAACATCGCCAAATGATGCCAAATGCGCACTTCGTTTTAGGAGGCATGCCTGCTCCCATCGCCACAAAGACCTCAGCCCCGCGCCAGGGCCAGGATGCGGTCGGAACCTGCCAACCACAGACCGGCGCAGAACCCCTTTGTAGTATGGTAGTATGACATCCTGGCAGTTGGTGGGTAGGCGCATTAGAAGCTACGTGTTTCAAACAAGCAAAGCGCTTTTTCGGCGACCTGCTGTCAGCCCAGTGAACCCTGGCTTGCGGACACCATCCCTTGGCAGCTTACTGAGACATTGGACCTTCACCCTGACAATTCTTGCAGGCGTGTGCGGGATTCCAACGTCAACACCAACAAGGCGAAAGGTGGTTAAATAAATCATTGTTTGCATTCTGGCCACTGTGCTCTTCAAGCCATTGCCCATCAGAGGCCTTGTGCCAGCCACAAGTCTCCTGTTCTTCGCTTGCCAATGAGCCTGTGACGCACAAGGGGCATGCATGATGAGTAGGCAAAGAATTGGACCTGAATGTGGCGCATGTAGGATGCGTGGATAAGCCTCTTGAACACTCGCACCCCGATTCATCGGCCCCTTCCGATCCGCTCCCCGCAAGCGCGCCTGCTGCCATCAGAGTCTGACAGCCTGCTCCGAGCTTTGCAAAGGTCCACACGCCTCATGCGCGCGATTTGGCCCATGCGACGCCTAAGTCGTCCAAAGCCGATTGGAGTGCAGCTTCTGCAGCTACCAATGCGGCCATTAAATCATAACCCTCAATTGCATGCCCTCAGCAATCGCGAAGATCCTGAGGCAACAAAAGCCGCAGTGTGACACGTTTAAACCCGCAAGGCCTGCAAATCACTTTGTGCTGCACATTCCAACGCATGCGTGCCGGAACTGCTGCTTCACAATTGCCCCACGGGGCTCGCTCTCGCTAGCCGAACCCCAACCCCCCCCCCCCCGGCTGACCCGAAAAAGCTCGAGCGCCTGGAAGTGCAACAAATAGTTCAGCATGGATCAGTCGAAAAGGCAAAGACAACCGGAGAAGCCACGGAGCCCGCACGCATTTCAATTGCCTTTGAGGCCCTACCTACTCCCAGTCTGGTCCTTTGCAACTTGAAACGGGAGAGAGGCGGCTTTTAACTTCTGAGCTTCATATGTTGCCCCTCACTTGATTCTGCCATGTGCCTCCTTGATTCTGTCCCATCATAGCCGACCAACATTCTGCAAGAAACACACATTTTGGAAATATATCCTTGTTGTAGGTGTTGATTTGTTTGTTCTCTTTGTCCACCCAGAACTCCAGCTAACCCCCAACTGAAAACCAGCAAGCCCCCAACTGAGGCGCGGGGCTGTTGACCAGGCTCTGGGCTTAGAGCTCGGAAGCGCGCAGCGCAACCTGCCGAAGTCTGAGATCTAGAGGCCTCGAGGTACCACAGCTCTGGAGGGCAAGGGTGGTTGGCATGAAAGCCTCCGTACTTCCAAAAACCACTACACGGAAATGCCCTATCCCAAAAGTCCAAAGGTCCGTTCCTTGAACGGATGTGCTTGCATTGATAAATGCAGATGGCGTGAAAGCTTCATAATTACTTTCTTGGAGTCCCCAGTCTTAACAAATTCCAAATGATATTTTGCAGAGTTAAGTCATTGACCCGGGTTGACCTGCCGAAGCTGACATGGTGGCGTGTCACTCTGCCAATGCCTTGCTTGATCTTTTAGTAGCTGTTTCACTGTTACTGTCCGCGAAACATTCGCTTGGTCCAAAAGTTGGCATAATCATCACGTGGCAAAACGAGCCCTTCAGGATAGCGGCGGCACCCCTGGTAGGGACTTGGGGTATCAAGCCAACGTCTGCATTAGCAAATGGTACGGGAAATCACTCCATCCCTAGCTGGCCCTCTCTCTCTCTCTCTCTCTCTGCAACTCAGCCGTGACAACCTTGTGTCTCAAGGGCTCACAGGTTTCTGCTCCCCCAACCTTCGCCCAAACTCCGCCCACCTGTCTGCCGGTCGCCTCGGAAGACGTGTCCTCAGAAGGTGCCGCCTCGAAAGCCGCGTGCCCGGAGCCAAAGGTCAAGGCTGGCGACTACCCCCAATCCCACCCCGAAAGGGGAGTTCACAAACCAACTGGCCTGACCAACCTAGGTGTCGATCAGAGGTGTTGCCTTTGGTTCCTTCCTTTGTCCTGTAACTTGTTTGTGGAGGGACTTGGGGATACTCAGCGTGCCTGCACGAACCCCGGAGTGAGTGCAACGTGGTGAACATCAACTGCAGGTGCCCCGGGCCCCACCGGAGCCTTGCCAGGTGGCCACGCAAAGCCTCAGCCAAACTGGCGCAAAGCTTCCGCGAGGGGTCGAATTTTAATTGCCCATAAGCCAACAGGGGTCCAAACCCGTGCCAAATCTTGCAACAGTTCCAGAAGATGACTCACGCTGCAGAACCGCATGTGTAGGCCAAATGCCCACAGCTACGTTACATTCAGGGCAAGGCTTCGAAGATACACGGCATCGTATCCAAATTGAAGTTCGGGGGGTCCAATCAAAACCGACGACCTGCAAAGGACATGGTCGGGATTGATGACTGGTGAGAGTTGGGCTGGGTCCAGCCACGATCATTATCAGCCAAGGCTGGGCCGCCTGCAGGAAAATCTCGATCTTGGGCAGGAGGGTTGGGCCCATTTGGTTGACCCGATGTGTTGGCGGAATAGTGACTCAAGCTTCTTCTACTCTTCACATTCCCTCTCAAAAAAGGTGAAACACTCCGAAGAGCCTTCTCGCATATGCCATGCACAGCCCAAACCGAAGGAGGAAGCAAATCCACCCGTTCACATTTGTATCCTTGAATGTCCTGCTTGTGCAAAATACCGAGTGTCCAAAGCCCTCGCCAGAATCATGTTCAGCCAATGTTTGCAAAAGCAGTTAAAGGTCCTTGTTGGCTTTTGGCTTGCTATGGACACCCTTCTTACTGACTGAGGGCCTTGCGAGGCTAAAAAGAGATCGCTTCTACGGCTTGGAACCCATCTTCACCCACCTTCCCTGAAGAAGTGAAGGGGGACGTCATGTAAAACCTGGAGGTGGCAATTCCCAAGGCTCTGACCTGCAAGCTCCTGCGCTGTGGCCTCTTGCAGCTATGCAGTGCGCGCGGCCTCGGCTGAGGCGTGTTCTGGGCACCCACATTTCAAGCAGTCCGCACCTCCATGGTCTCTGACCAACCGTATATAATTCAAAACTTTGCTAACTCCTAAAAAAGGATGCTTCATCCCGGGTGAGTACATCTATGATCATGTATACAATAGGGTTCCACCAAAATGCTACTTCCCAACTCTTCGCCCTCCTCCTGCTGCGGATGCACCAACATTGCAAGTCAAGACCAACAAAGGCACAGCCCAACGAACACATTGGAACGTCGCGGTCGCCCCATTCGCTTGGAATCCATGGCTCGGCCAAACTTCCGCTTTCCTCGTCCAAAGATGCGAACAAGTCAAAGTGCGGTGAGACCAGACGCTCGTCGCGGCCCCTGCAAAGATGTATGTGCTGAAGGCGTGCGGGAATCTCTGCAAAGGAACCCCCAAGCAGGGAACCTTCATCACAGGTTATTCGCAAGCTCAATGGAAGCTTAAACTTCGACTATCCGACACTCAAGAGGTGAATGCGAGTCATGGAAGGGACGAAGCCAAGGAGAGTTTGCCAGGAACTGCTCAC